ATTAGACAGGCGCATAAAACAAAACGAGACTAAATGAGCACACCAGCCCAGGGCAAGGACTAGAAGGCAAGAGGGGACAGGAAAGCCGGTAATGGGGAACCCAAGATCAAGAAGGTGAGGGTGTTGACACATCATGGGGTTGGCAACCAGTGTCAGAAAACAATATGTGTTAATTGTTTAATGAGAAACTAGTTTGCTCTGTAAATCTTCACCTAAAGTACAATAAAAATTTTTTAAAAATATAGACTTTGATTTATTATTTTTAGCGCAATGAGACTAGCTCACATTAGTAAAGAGGAAAATGAACTAATCGTCTAGCCCATCTAAATTAGCTTTACCTTTATTATTCAACCCATTCAGGACAAAAGGGAAGTTTTGACTAAAACATCCAGATAATTGGGATGAAAGTGATTTTGCTTAAGTTACTAAGATGTGATCTTCAATTTCTCACTTTGATTTGTATGTATAACAAAAAAAGTCTAAGCTATTGACCATCAGGCCAGACCAAAAAAACATTTTTATTCAATTATCCAGCAATTTTAAATAAAAAATTATTGGGTATCTGAGCCTTAAATATCTTGAAGTCTTTATTAGTCTTTCTCATGACAGAAAACAATTTTCTCATATACTCTTTCTTTAAATCTTCTATCAAACAAAATGAGAAATCAACTACCCTATTGTTTACGTGGCACAAATCAGTAAACAAACAGTAAATAACTTTTCCAAACATGCATACTCTGTAATGAGAGGCATGCCTTATAATTTCCAGGCACTATCATAGTGATTGGACTCCAACATACCAATGATCATGAAGATGGCACAGGACCGGGCAATGTTTTGTTCTGTTGTGCATAAGGTCACCATGAGTTGGAGCTGACTCAATGGCAACTAACAATAAAATATCATAGTGATACAGTGTATTATGAGCTCCATGGTATAAATGTTGTTGTTGTTAGATGCCATTAAGTCAGCCCCCTGCCTCAGGGCTACCCCGTGTACAAAGAAATGAAGCATTGTCCAGTCCTGTGCCATCCCCAGGATTGCTTCCAGATCAGGCCCTTGTGATCCATGAGGTGTTCACTGGATGATTTTTTAAAGTAGATCATCAGGTCTTTCTTCCTAGTCCATCTCAGTCTGGACACTCCATGAAACCTATTTAGCATCACTGCAACACGTGAGTCTTCACTGACAGATGAGTGATGGCTGTGCATAAACTAAAAAAAAAAGAAATCATTGCCACTGAGTCTATTCTGACTCATAGAAACCCTACAGGACAGAGTAGAACTGCCCCATAGGGTTTCCAAGGAGCAGCTGGTTGATTCGAACTGCTGACCCTCTGGGTAGCAGCCAAGTTCTTAACCACTGGACTACCAGTGCTCTGTGCAAAAATAAGTACCTATAAATAATTTTTATGTTGTTAAAAAAATCTTTCTTTTTTTTATGCTCAATTGTCTTGGAAAACCACGGTTGTGATAATTAACAATTACAAAAATGAATAATTATATAGTCTTACCTGTTGGAATTCGAATATCTATATTGGACAATGTAGCTAAACCACTGCCCCATGAAAAGTATCCATTTGTGACCTAGACAATAAGAAACAGAAATTAAATTATAAAATTATGTATAAATGTGATATTAGAGAATAATTCCAACAAAAATTTTAAAATTTGAAAGCAGTGAAAGACTTTCAACACAATGATCAAATTCTAGTTTAGATTTGTAAGTATTTCATGGAATAAATGAAAAACAGTAAGACTAGGAATAAAAGAAGAACCTTTGAATCAGTGACAGTATAAAGAAATGCTAAAAATTATAGCAATTTTCTCTGAACATTTGGGATTATTGGATCATTTCCATGTGTGCATTTTTAAAAACCAATCATGCCACGTATTTTCCAGTGTAACCTCTACATTGATTATTTTCTCATTGCTATGTAATTCTGGGGATCCTTCTGATGATGCAAAGTATAGGACAGAAATAATTACAAATTATTCCAACAGAATGACTTGGTTAGCTTAGGAGAAAATTTTGTAATGAATGAGTTTCATGAACTATGGGAATTTATCTCTTTTCAGTAGGCTTATAAGAAACAGTAAAGAGAAAGTAGAGCACAGAGACGAAGCAACATTGCTTGGTGGTATAAACCTCAGCAATCAGCAAACAGCACAAGATCCCATATTTATCCAAAGCAATCTATTTGTTTTAACAACTTTAAGTGTACTCAATAGGTTTAACAGTTATAAATGGGAAATGAAAGGAGGTATGACAGAACCCAAGAGCAGGGTAGGAGGGGCAGAGACAGATGAGTGAAAGGAGAGTGCCTGAAAACTCAGGGGGAAACTAAAGATACATCTTGATCATAAATTAAGATTTTTATGTCAAAACCATAACTAATGAAATTTCTGAGAATATTAGTGTTTAGGAATTTTGTAGCATAGATTGGTGATGTCTAAATTGTGACAAAGTACAGCTGTAAACAGTTCTTAATAAAATTAACAACTTAGAGAGTGAAAAACTCTGGTTGAAAAGCCTAGACTGCTTTTCCATGTAGATTTTCTCTAACTTCTAAAGTGTGTGGCACAGCATATATATATACATGAAATTTGTCATGGAAGGAGAGTGACGGAAGGGCAGAATCATCGGTTGCTTTACAAATATTTCCTGAGCACCCACTCTGCATGAGACAATGTGTTAGGAACAGTGCAGGCTACACAAAAGGTATGATATACTCTCCCTGCTCCCTAGGAGACTGCAAACGGTTCAGTCAACAAACCCTGGACAGAAATAAGTTCAATACAAGACAGCAAGGGCTAAGTAACAAGCAGAGGAGACAGGCAGACAATAAACACAAAAGCCGTTCAGAAAGGAAGTCATTTATATTGGGATGAGTCAAAAAAAAAAAAAAAAAAACTTCTTGGAAGAGGAGGTCTTTTAGCTAGCTTTTTAAAATATATTGCATCTCAATAAAGCCATTTCTGGATAAAGAACTAGAGTAAGAAAAGGCCTAGGGTAGGAAAACTATGTTGTACGAAACGTTGAATAGAGCTGGCTAGGGCAGCGGTTTAAGAAACTGTGGCTAAATGACTCTCAGAAAAATTATACAGCCTCAGAAGTTGTCATCTCTGAGACACTAGGCAACGAGCCAAGAAGGGGTGCAAACACAGATGAGTTTGGGAGAAGACTGACTTGGAATTGGGAGAACTCCCACGTGACAACCTCTGTGTTTTCAGTGAACTGGGAGCTAAGGTTATCTGAGGAAGGAGGAGGCTCAAGGAGAGATAGGAGGAGGTGGGAAGAGTGGTGACAGTTGAATAGTAGTTCCATAGTAGGTTATGGAAAATAATGCCAATGAAAGGCATGCAACAGGATTGCCAAGAACTACTGACGGTCAGCTGAGGGTGGAGATAATATGTCTGTGCCTGTGCCAACCTCTACCATTGTGTCATTTTCTCCACAGCACTTAGCAGCCCGGTTAGGATGTAGAGATGGCACCACTCTGGATTCCTACAGAAGGGTATTAATGAACTGGGAGAAAAGGAAGGGCGCTCAAGTTATTGGACGTTTCAAAAATAGTGACAGTGAGGGTGAGCACCTGAGACAGCTGGAGGGCCAGGAGTCTGTTGTCAGTGACTGACCGGCATTTTAGAGCACTGTGCCAGGTATTGAGGACAGAGAAGACTAAATGCGGCTCTTGGCTCTACTATCCACTCCACTGAGCCGCCTTCTCTCTCTAATTGGGCTGAAAAGTACAGAGTTAGTTGTATAGCCTGGAGCAGCCAACGCAGCTAATTTTCTAGAAGGGCTCATTTCCAAGACTCTGATGGCTCCAATGTCCAGAGGCCCTTGACTGCTGCTGGCAACTGTCCCAGTCACTGCACAGCTCTGACCCTTCCCTGGGTCTTATCCCAACCGTCAACCCCCAGCCTGTGTTCCTGTGGTTGCCTATTCTACCTAAGTACAGGGGCCTGGGGAGATACAAAAGGCTGAGTTTGAAATTAGATCAAAGGCAGTGTTGGGAAGTTGGGTGAATGTGTGCAACCCTAGTCTAACCTTTCCTGGCTGAAAACAATTACTATCTATTTCCTTAAGAACTGGATTTATAATATTGGTGTCCTCTATAAATCAATGCGCTTGGTAGATAAATGTAATCGTACCAGAGGAAATATGTCGGATACTAGCTTCTAACATAGACTCAGAAAAAAAGCCTTCTCCAACTACTAAAACGCTGGAGAAAAACCTTGTTGGGAGACAAGGAAGGACTGAGAATTATAAACTTATCAGAATTTTTTTTTATGTAATTAGGATTAAGGATCATTGTAGAATGATTTTGAGACAAGATTTAGGACACTTCTGCAGAACTTCCAAGATAGTAACATAAATGTTTCTATTCTTGTACGAATTCATGAAATAAAATAACCTTTATTGCAATATCCTCTGTCTCTACAGGACGTAGACGGCGTGTTGATTGCTCATAGCTGTCCAGGTGATATCTTCCAGGCTGCTTCCTGTTTATAGCTTTCGGCTGCTGCATTCCAAACGGAAAAGAACACAAGTTTAATGCTTGTGTGAAAAAACAAAGGATTTACTGAACATTAACTCCCATTGCTACTTCTCCGTTTGAATTCCAAGAAAAGAAATATATAAAGTGCATGTAATATTTTAATTATTTCAACGGCTTCTCAAAAAAAATCAAATAATAATGAAAAAATGCTAAGCTATAATTTAACTCAATTTACAAGCCTCTTAATAAAAATGAAAATATGAAATGTGATACCCACAAACAATGAAAGTGAAGGACTAAGCTCCAAAATAGGTTTTGGATATACTTTCTCCAGTGATGAGGCTGAATATAATTGGATAATTAAAATAACTGTGTCGGGTGTAGAAAGACAATCAGATTAACTAAGGTCAAAATAGAATCCACTTGCAAGGCTGTTGGGCTTATAAATATTCCAACAGTACATTACTGATAATCCTCTGAACCATGGGGATTTTGAATCTGATACAGTCACATAAATGAGACTGAGATACACATTAGGGAATGAGAAAAAGTATATAGATCTAGGAATTTTTTGCCCAAAGATGTATATAGTGTTTCATAAGGAGATCCATAATCAGTCTACCTCAAATGTAATAGAGCTGTTCCTAGTCATAGCACTAAAACCATCCATTTCAGAGAGGATGCCAGCTGAGGTTTGATGGTCTTCACATATTTAAAGTGAACTTAAGTAAGGTCATAACTAGAAATCTGTTCATTCACTCATTTTGCTTTCAATTTCACATAGATAGAGACAACTGGCTAAAGAAAAACTAGAAAACTCTCCTTTGTAAACCTCTAATTTGGAAATATTTAAAAGCTCAAAAATTGTTCCAGGAACCTAATGAGCAAGCAATTCAACATACCTAATTATCTGTCTTAGTTAAATACCTCAAAGAGATTATAAAGGCTATATAGCAAAGGATTCGAGAATTGTAAAATTTCTTTTTTTTTTAACCCCTGGAATTTCAGGTTTAGCCTTTTGAAAAATCCCTTGAATTCTACATTTGGAATTAGAAACGTGCTCAAATAATCAGTAATTTAGATCCAAACAAGACACTGCTCTTACAATTTAATTATTTGGTATATCAACAAGACATCAAATTATCAAATAGTACATTGCTAGACTATATGCCTCAAAGAAAACAAAAATCCTCACAACGGGACCAATAAGCAACATCATGATAAATGGAGACAATATTGAAGTTGTCAAGGATTTCATTTGACCTGGATCCACAATCAATGCCCATGGAAGCAGGAGTCAAGAAATCAAAAGACACGTTGCATTGGGCAAATCTCCTGCAAAAGACCTCTTTAAAGTGTTGAAAAGCAACGATGTCACCTTGAAGACTAAGATGTGCCCGACCCAAGCCATGGTATTTTCAGTCACTTCATATGCATGTGAAAGCTGGACAATGAATAAGGAAGACGGAAGAAGAATTGAAGCCTTTGAATTGTGGTGTTGGTAAAGAATATTGAATATACCATGGACTGCCAAAAGAACAAACAAATCCTTCTTGGAAAAAGTATAACCAGAATGCTCCTTAGAAGCAAGGATAGTGAAACTACATCGCACATACTTTGGACATGTTATCAGGAGGGATCAGTCCCTGGAGAAGGACATTGTGCTTGGTAAAGCAGAGGGTCAACAAAAAAAAGGAAGACCCCTAACGAGACAGAATGACACAGTGGCTGCAACAATGGGGTCAAGCATAACAACGATTGTGAGGATGGTGCAGAACTGGGCAGTGTTTCATTCTGTTGTGCATACGGTCACTATGGGTTGGAACCAACTCGACAGCACCTAACAACTGGCTACATGCAGATAAATACATAGATTAAAAGCCACTGAGAAGACTGAAAGTAAAGCACTAGCAATGGTTCTGTCACATTAAAAAAATATTTAATGTATTTTAACTAAAAAAAAAAATTTCATAAAACTCTATTTTATTTTTGTTCCCTTCCCCACCCTCCCACCCTCACCCTACAGTCCTTACAGTTGATCCTGGAAGTTCACTGCATGAGATGTAGAGAACCACTATCCTTTAAGCTAAGTATGTTTCCACACAAAACAGGTCTAGACCTATACATAAGATTCACTGTCTTCTAGAGTCCTTAATTCTATTGTAGAATTGCCCCAGAGGTCCAAAAGGAATGACTTCATATTGTTCACAAAACTAAGGAGAGGGTGGGCGGAGGTTATGTGTTGACAGAGATTTGAGTCGGAGTTCCACAGATGTAATTTGAAGAGACTCTGGCTCTAGAATGTCACTAATTCTCCGTGGAGATTCCACAGCCAAAACCACTTAACTCTAAGCTTTGACAGAATACATAGCATCTTAAGCGCTCTCAAGAAGGGGTTTCCATTAGTGTTATTTTAAAGCACACAACTTTTTTCACTCCATTTTAAAAAGTTTGTCATTTTGCGGTTTGGCCCATCGGCAGTGACCCAGAAAGACATCAGAAGTCCAGTCTGGTTTCAATAACCCTGGAGATATTGGATGCTTTTGAAGGGGATTCTTCTTTCTATCCAAAAACTTTTTCTCGGTTCAAGTTTTCTTCTCGCTCTTATCTAATACTAAACTCCAAAAACTTCCCTAACTTCACGAACATGACCTCCTACATCCCATTTCCTGAGGTCATTTCACTCAGCTCATCCTTACATCTCTGAAAGATGATCTAATGAGTTCTTCGGTAGTCTCGGATCATCCAAAGCATGACGAGGCCGGTTCTAATAAAAAAAAAAGGGACTTTCCTGTTGCCTAAAAGTGTAGGCAGGTTGATTGTATTTTTGTGCATGCGTCTATAACCACACACTAACAAACAAGCGTTCCGAGAGATTCTTACTCCAGTGGGTATAAACACGGGCACTAGTTTCTTCTCAGGCAAAATCACGCCTGCTCAATAAAATAACTTAGCAAAAAGTAAAAAATAACCCCATGCAAGCAGAAAAGAACAGTAAGTCTAACATTATAGCAAAACGTTCATCTGCACTATTCTTAGCAATTTTAAACATGATATGAATAAAAATTTAATACAGATTGACTTCTCGGTAAAGACTTTCTGAGTTCCAATCTATTTCAGTCAAGAAACTGCATGTGCCTTTTCATTTGGTCACATAAAGGGTAAATATATTCATATTTTCCCTAATCCTAACATGTATAACTAACACTAACTGATAACATGACTCATTTTCGAATAATATCTTTCTGCTTTACTGTTATGAAATACACATATTAAAGACCTAGAATTTTTCAGACATACCTTTCAAGAAAGAAGTATAATCCAATCCCATACATTTAAATATGATCGTAAGGCTAATAACGCCTAGATTTACATCTCCATTCCTGATCTCACTCTTCTTAGATGTCAAATAAGTATATCAAAATTACCATGTGCAAAATATGCCTCTTGATTCCACCTCAGCATCAACCTGCTCATTTCTCAGCTTCCCTATTTCAGTTAATGGCCCCATCATCTACCTGGCAGTCAAGCCCATAGTCTAGGATCAGCCTTGAGTCCTGTTTCTCCCTCAGCCCCCACATCTAATCTATCAGCAAGTCTTTATCAGCTCAACCTCAAAAATGTACACTGAATTTCATCACTTCTCACCATGTCCACTGCAACTGCGACAAAAACTCTACTCCTAGCTAACGTCATTTCTTGCCTGTACTATTACAATGATCTCTTTACTGATGTTTCTACTCTTGCCTCCCATAGACTTCATCCAGCAGCCAAAGCAATTTTTCAAAATATAAACAGAATCATATAATCTCTACTTAAAAACCCTCCAGTGGTTCCCATTATTTATGAATAATATCTAAACTCTTTCCATGGTCTATTAAGACTCTTCATCATTTTTCTTACTTTGTCTCATCCCCCTTTCCTTCAACAGGCTCTACCCATAGTGCCCCTCTCTCCTTTGAACACACTAAATTAATTCTCACCTCGGGGTCTTTGCACTTGCTAGTTTTTCTGCCTGGAACATTCTGTTCCCAGATCTTTGCAAGGCAGGTACCTACTCTGCATTCAGGTCTCAGCTCAAAGGTCATTTCCTCAGACAGACCTTCCAGGAAATGATTACCCTGCTTCGAGTATCCCAGTCACTCTCTAATACCCTGTTTTATTTTCTTCACTAACTGAAATTACCTCATTTATTTACTTGTTTATCATCTGACTCCTGCCTCTAGAAAGCAGGTTCTGTGAGAGGAGGGATTATCTACCTTGTTCATAGCTATACCCTAAGTCTTGTCAACAAAGTACCAGTCAACAAGCCTGGAAGCACAGGCAAACACACAGTAAATGGTTTACTGATATTACCTACATGACAAAATAATATTGACTATGTTTTCAGACTTTATGTAGCCACTGAGTAAATATCTGTGACATGAATGAATGAGGAGTTAGAAGGCTCAGGTTTTAGTTTAGGCTCTGTCATTTATAAATCTTCTTTCATTCAAGCCAAACAACCTGCAAACTCAATGTATTCATCTGGAAAATAAAAATATTAAGTAATATAACATCAGGTAATGTATTAAGGGGATCAAGGAGCATAACACACCAGAAAGTACTTTTTAAACTAAAAAGTACAATACAGCTGAAAGATACAAGAATACATGTAGTAAGCTTATTTTGTATTATTTTTGTACAAAGCTTGGATTAAAGAACCTCTCAGTTTCCTGTTATATTGAACATGTGCTGACCCTCGTGGATAATTCTTTCATGATTTATACAAATAAGCCTTACACATCTGGCTATTGATTTTAGACTTGAGAGGTCTGTTGTAGAAGCAGGTGGCAAGTTTTCTTCACATAAGTAAAACAAACAAAGAAACAAAACTTAGCGTTTATTCTAACTGCACCCATATTAAACCATGCATTCTTTTGGGGTTGTCCCTATTCACAGCTTCCAAAACCAAAAATCAAACCCATTGCCATCAAGTTGATTCTGACTTATAGTGACCCTAGGTCTATAGAAGCAGACTGCCATATCTTTCTCCTGCGGAGCGGTTGGTGGGTTTAAACTGTCAACTTTTCAGGTAGCAACCCTGTGCTTAACCATTGCACTACCAGGGCTCCTTATTTGCAGCTTACATAACAAGAAAAAGCACTTACGACTGCTGTGTGTTTCTTACAGGACTCAAAAGGAAGAGACCCTTCACCAGTTCGCCAGCTGTCATCTCCAATCTCATCACTCAAGAGAAACTCGTTCAGCTTTTGAACACTGCACAAGGCAAAATAACAAAAGCAGGATAAGGGTTAAAAATAAAACCACCAACAACAAAGCCATATAATTCAACTTAGGTTCTACCTAAATAAACTTAGGTCCCCCCCACCCCTACTCTCACTCATCATGTGAGCCTGGGAGAGTCATTTCTCAAGACCAACTGGGAATTCGGGTAGAGTGATCAAGCATCTAAATTGCCCAATGGAGGTTCAAAAAATCCCAGGAAAACTGGGGTGAGTTGGTCATCCTAAATTCTGCCGAACTTCCTAGGCAATTTTTCTGCAACGGTATTCCTTTTAGAAGACAGTAGAGTTGCAGAGGAACTTGGAACAGGCTGAGTAGAAATAATAATACCAATGAGGGAAGTGTTCCTATTATTCTAATTTTACAAATGAGAGGAAATAAGGTACAGAGAGGTTAAGTAACCTGCCTAAAATCACTTAGCATATAAATCACAGATAGATCTGGGATTAAAACCCAGCCCTTTGACCCCAGAGTCCATTATTCTATCCTGCTTACATACTATATATTACACAGATTTCCTGAATTTGACAAGAAGAAAGTCCTCTAGAGTTTTGCTACTCAAAGTGTCATGCAAGAACCAGCAACATCAATATCATCTGGAAACTTATCAGAAACGGAAGATCTCAGGCCTCACCCCTGACCTACTGGATCAAAATACACATTTTTTAACAAGATTCATTG